TTCTCCACTTACTTTTAATTACTTGAATCAATCAACCGTGTCATTCTCAATAGGCAAGCAGTATTTTTTCATGCATGCGCTCGTGATTATCTTGAAAATGAATCAGCCAGTAGACTTAATTAAAACACAACGTTTATTATTAAAAGAAGGCTAACAGACAGTCTAAAACGTTTTTGGGAATGATTGCTAGTCCATCTTTAACCAATGTTGTATCTGCTTGATTAAAACTTCTTTTGTACCACAATTAAAGACAAACTTTCAAAAAATTCACATGCTGCAATGAGATAGTTGATATATATATCATACAACGTCTTCATTTGACTTTGTAATGCTATTGTTCTTGTGTCTTTTGGCTTTGGTGCACCAGATGATCAGTCAAGTTTATACCTTCTTTATTCGAATTAATGAAATATCAATCATCGTTGATGATAGATATTTAATCAGAGGGAGCTATCACTTTTATTTTGTTTCTCGAATAATGAATGATTGAAGATTCCTATTCGTATGCTTCTTTGACCATTTCTTTGTACTGAATGAACAATAGTGTGATAGATGGGTCATACATTTACAGTAAGATAAGTCAATATTCGCCGTGAAATAATGACATCTTCATCATACACTTTTCCAAACAGTCTTCATTTAAAATTTCCTTTTTCTACAACAAAGCTTTATTTCAATGTTCGTATTTTCGACATTTTTCTTTTCGACCAAATTCAAGTTTATCGCGCTCGTTACCGTGTGAACTTTTTCTCTTGTTTTGCGGTTTTATGTTATCATACTCAACATAAAAATATACGTTGATATTTGCAATGTATTTTGAAATATCCGAATTTTTCATAACCAAGACTCTTTCTATATACAAGAAAAAATATCAGTGAATTATACATTAAATACGACGAGGTCAGATATTTCTGTTGAACAAGTCTATTAAAATATCATTTCATTCGAAAGTAGGAAGAAAAATTTATACATATAGTTCATATTGGTCGAAAATGGTTATCACCATAAATGCATAGTGTTGCATCTTTCGTTATTAATCAATACTATCGAATTCAACAAACAGTTTTAGCTATGTGAATTAATGAAATGCTATATCCGCAGGATATGCGATACGCGTAACTCATACACTTAATGTAAATAGCTTAAATTAGTTGAATTCAAAATTCTATTTATTTTTATTCCGTGGAGTAATTTATGGTCTTCCTTCAGTGTGTATAGGCAATTGGATCTATTACTTATTTTCAAGTAACAAAAAATATATGAGAAACGTTCGATATATAATTTTAATTTGTTATCTAAGAAATTACTCATAAAAAGTACTATGGCATATACTTATGCATAGAAAATATGAAACATAGACGTAAAAACTAATATCAATGATCACAATGATTTTCAGTAAATTCAGACAAAGATTTCAGACTGTAATATTGTAATAAATCATTTAAAATTAGAAGATCTTTAAACCTACTATAAAAAAAAGCACTCGACTATTACGATACTACTGTGAGTGTCTATATTCCTCCAGAAACTCATCTAAATTGTTTTGATTCATTACTATATGATTCATTAAATCAACCGGAAAAGGCAAGAGTAACAAGGAGAAAAACTACATGAGAAGAAAGAAAAATTAGCTATTTGTTATTTATGCAAGATTTGACTACGAATCAAGATGAAGAAGACGGTGATAGGAAATTAAAATCATCATTTGTTTCCATAGGTTCAACCAATACCGTATTGCATGATCTAAGAGATGATTCAATCCGAATATTTTGTAATGAAATGTTTAATATGAGAATTATTATTTTCACTTTTAAGTTGATGGTAGAAAATTGAAATTTACGTTTGAGAAGCTATTTCAGGAGATAGGATTTTTTCTTGGTGATTGATGTTCTTTATAAACTGACTGACGACCAAGACTAAAAATTTAACTAAATCATGCTGATAATTCATTGTTTGATATTATTTTAAATTATTTTTAAACAAATCGAAGTTATTTCTCTTGTTATTTATATCTATAAATAAAAGTACAAAAAGAATTTAATTCGCACAAATGACATTCTTTTGAGCATACACTACTGATCTTTTGTCAAAAAAATCTTATCAAGTGTTGTAGTCACCAGATCTTCATATTGAATATAGCATAAATGTTTGAAGACAAGGTAAACATGTGTTTGAATCGATAAGATATCGTTCAAGATAATCAATGTGTACTGAACTAATGTAATGATTATCATCATGTATAACCAAATGTCGAACACTAATAAATCATTCACCAGGAAAATATTTGACTAAAAAATATAAATAAATTCACTGGAAAACTAGCTGGATTATTTTCCTCTACATGACAATGATTTTCTATTTGAAAAAAATCGTAATTGTATTCAAAATGTGCTCATTTGATTGACGATTAAATGAAAGTTCATGTAATCATGATAGATCACTGATAGTATTTCTCTTCAAATAATAGCCATGGATAAGCTTTACTTTTTTGTGATAAATGATAACGAGAACTATTTTGGATAGTTCAGTCCTGTATATTCAAATCAACATAGAAAAATAACATGAAAAATTATGGAGTCAATGTAGTTTGTGCGATTTATCAAAAATCATAAAGTACGTGCCATCTTGAAGCTTTTAATTTTGTTTATAAATAAATATGGCATGCAGAATATCTGTATCGATGCTTTTGCTTTCAACGATACTCCTTTACAATATATTGGCAGAACTGATAGTATGCATCAAAGTTTAGTCATAAGAAAGTGCACGCATCAGTAATTCAAATTCTATAATGCTTTATCTATTCAGATGAGTATTCATTGATGTTTTAAGATAGAAAAGTAGGAACACGGGGAATGATCAACAAATGCAAAGTCCTATTTATTTTATTATTTTGTGAGACATTCGCAAGCTGTTGAGCTCGATAGTTGTCGATGAATCAAAGGAAAATGATGAGTAAATGCAAGTCACCCTATTTTTTCGTAACACATCCAGAGATGTCATAATATCCTAACACCGGGTATCGTCGACATACCAGTCACGATATCCATTCAAGTGGATATCTAAAATGGATACCCTATTCTAGAAATACGTGACTTTATAATTATAAATAAGGAAACGTGATACTATGTTAAAATTTATTCTATTCATGTAGTCCGCTTTATGCCAATTTTTATCGATATGTACAGATCTGTTTAACGAGTATTGCAGATAGCGTGCAATTCCAGGTAAATGTTCGTTGAAGAACTTCATTTTTACCTGATAACAATTTATTACGACGTTCATCACAATGACTCAAGGAAGTCGGGTTGAAACTGTAGCATGCTGTGTAGTTGGTGTTGTTGTGGATCGTCACATGTATGTTATTTGAATTGTGGCTTATATTAATTTGTTTGAAGTAGGACCTGACAGTAGGAAAATTTCCGATACTCAATCTCGTTACACCAAATGCACTCAAATTCCTCAGCTCTGAGGATACGTAGATATCCATCCAACTGGGTATCCTATCTGGGTATTCATCTCGATACCCAAGTTGTGGATATTATGACATCCCTCCAGTATCGCGACTTTCGTGAATAGTGGAACTGTGAGGGAACCTATAGTTGATTCGCATTTCCTTTAGGAATTACCACAGCGACACTGACAATTCCTCGGCACATTGGGAATTCCTATTTCTCAGTCATTGGACACTGCTGGTTCACGATAATAAACATTTGAACACATGGAAGCGATTTCCTCTTTTGAATAACAAAACAAAAAAGAAATCATATTTTTTATGATTTTTTCATTTAAGTGGCATTCTAAAAATTTACTGTAGAACAAATAGTTGTAAATGTGTAACAATGAAATTATTTTCTCTTCTGCGCGTTAACGTATTATATGAATAAGTGAGGAAATAAAAAGAAAAAAGATTACTCTGTTCAATTCTATTATAATATTTGATGCACAACTTCTGATGCATAGTTGCTGATGTAGAACGAACGACTATGAGAACAGCCATCGTAGCTGTCTAATTTTAACCTTGAGACATGTGTTTGTGATATTCACTGTTTTGTGTGTACTACGAAGCTTGTCAGATGAAGATTTATGTGTTAATTGCAATGAGTGACATAATCTCTTTGACGTATTTTAAATAAAATTTTCGTTCCGTAACTTAAGAAAGATGTTTGATAATTTTAACATTGAAATTTGAAGAAATATACAACAATGCATTGGGTATTCTATTATACACCATAAACGAACTTTTTTCATATTCTTAACCTGTGTTGATCTCAAGATTTGTCCCACAGCTCATGACTTTCTTACTTCAGAGCTTCAAGAAACTGATGCACTTGAGCAAGACGTTGCTACTAGAAATATAAGTTGGGTTTGCAGACTTAGATGCAGCTGTTATCATATGCACCCACACCCCGAAGCGAGAAACATTTACAGATGCTTATCAATATCTCCTTTATGATTTTTCGTTTCGTCTTATGATTGAGGATATGGAAAAGCATCTATGGCGATATAAATATAGATTTCTCTTTAAAGTGAACGATTTCTATAGAAGAAGCTATTGGATATTTATTTTTCACAGCCATGTTTGAATTAGTGTCGGAGGTGTGCTTGCCTTTTTTCGGGTAAAAGCACTTCTGCTGATAAAGGAGCAATTTCCTGATTTTTGGGATGCGGGCCAGCCCTCACTATAGAGTCGATCAATACTCATATTCATATATAATTGGATTCACTTGAAAAAATATATCTGAGTATGATTTCGCAGCTTAATTATTGGCACTTTCAAAGCTAATCAATACGAGTATGAGAAATAGAAGATCTTCTTTATTCATTAAGCATGCACTATTTTATTGAAATTTTGCTTGGTAAGAGATAACTATAATTTTCTGTTAAATTGTCTGCTTTTATTTCCTTAAATAAATCAAATACTGTGATAAATTTTGATCGGAGAGGTCACTGTAAAAGCCAAAAATATTACAGATTATCAAGTTTTGTTAATTTTCCAAATTTTATATCTCTACTAGCTCTAAGTCATGATTCGAATCACCAATGACCAGACATTGCCGATTGACTACAGCGATGGTATTGCCTGAATATTCTATAGCAATGATGCTTTTCTTTCCAGGCACTGAAACGCAATGAACACTTCTTTGTCCAGTAGTAATAAAAAATTGGTTGTATCCGTCTGTACGAATCTGTACCAAACCAGTACAGCTACCTAAATCTTGTGATTTGAGACGCTTCATATCAAGATCTAAGACATTGATCTGCACTACTTCCCCATTATTTTGTGGACGAGTATTAATCGATGCTACGCAGTTATTTGCCACAGAAAAACTTATTCCACGTCTGAACGAATCTGGTATCGATCCTCCAAATTTAATCGTACGCGTATGTTCAAAAGCGTTTGAATAGATTTCAATGGAATCGGAACCACGCTTACCAGGATTAAGCCATACCCACAGATCATTCTCATTTGCCGCCACGCGTACATCGTCCCAAGTATTGCTTCGAATCGCATGTAGGATTTTGAACTTCCCGTTATTATACTCGACCGTATAGACTCCTTTGTTGGTAGCACAAACAAATCTGTCGATAGTTTTCCAGTAGATCATGTCAAGAACACGCGGTTGATACCAAACACGATGTGGATCTTCTTCTTCATTGTTTCCCAAATGGCAGTAGGCAATTATATATGGAGTGTCAGTACTTGTGTACATCACGTTGAATCCGTCGCTAGCCAAGCAATCGACCGGATATGTTGTTGAAATAAGGTCAACTGGTAAGCTTTCATCTGCAAGAGAATTTTCGTTCCATGGACTTAAGTTAATCGGATCATCTTTGGCTGCTGTCTCATTGTTATCATTGAATGGTGTTGTTAAGCAAGATTGAACTAAGCCTTCTGTATTTATAGTTGGACCAATAATGCTTTCGAATTGCAATTCACCTTTGGGTGTTATCTCTGGCAGATCCAATTTTTTAGTAATCACTAGCTTATTTAGATCTAGCTCAATTGTACCAAACTCTTCCAATATGTTAGCCGTTCGCGTTGGCTCATAAATGATTTGTTTGGTAAGACCTTGAATGTCAGCAGATACCACTTGTAAGTTCGACAGAAGCTTTGAAACACGAGCCTATAAAATGAATTTCAAAAACTCGAACAATGAGGAAACTAAAATATGTGAACATTACCTGGCCATCTTTTCTTGATTGTTCAATATTTTAAACAACAGTCTTTTTCGTCTCGAGTAATCTACTATACCAGTGGTCAATTTCAATGACTGTTTGTAACGCTTCATTCTCAATCATCTGCTGTTTTGCCTTGCACAGTTCTTGCACTTCATTAAATCGATGGGAAAGTTGAGTGATATTTTGAAGCAACTCATCATGGTGCTCTTTGATGCAGTCGAAGCAAAGTGCCTTCGAACAATGATTACATCGACACAGAGACAAACGCGTTCGACTATATGTTTCAGTGCATCGTACACAAGCTTCGACATGCAGAGCAGTAGCCATACTCGTTTCTTTATGCAACCATATAGCTCTGAAGATAAAAACTGATAAAGGCAGTGGATATCGACGAGGTCTTCAAACACAGCAGATATGGTTCCTCGTGAGGGTACGGATTGGTGAGCGTGAGTGGGTCTGTAAATGTATCTTCCTTTAGCGTGCACTCCCAATCCTACACTGATCAAAAAAGCGCCGAATGATAAACGTTAAAAGCGTTTATGAAAATGCAACATATGATATACCTTTTTCAACCGTTTAGTAGCATGCGATAAACCCTCTTATCTACCCATAAAAAGACGAAATAAAAAGGTTTATCAAATGGGTACACCACGTGCCGAAAGGTTTATCATAGTGTTTATACGACTGAACAACTTTAAAAGGGTGTATCATACGTTGCATTCTCATAAACCCTATCGAATGTGTTAGAGAGTACTCTAACAAGCTATTTACTTATTTATTCTTATACATTCTTGTTTCGTCTTTATACTTTATGCATTTCTTATACGTGTAATCCAACTCGAGATGCACATATATCAACCGCTCTTTTTAATTCTTTCTTTCCTCCCATGCGTGACGACGTAAATAATGGCATCGTTCACACTAAGTAAAAATGTGTCGGATGTGTCGTAAACTACGACACAAAGCACGACACATTCGAGTACGACATGAGGTGCTCGTTGCGACACATTCTGTCCAGCAAGACCACGACGC